TATGGAATTTAATTTACTATTTCAGGCAGATACATTCGCTGTATTTTGAACGAGCTTGTGCGGACTACCAAACCAGTATTACTTATTTTTATATATGATTAATTTTTAAAAAAATAGTGGTGGAGCAAAAAGATTATAAATTAAGTTCATAAATGCAAGGAATATATAGAAACCATACATTTTACTACCACTTTAAATATAGAAATAAAATTTTGCGCCAAATGCGTAAAAGTTGGCAGGTATGTATATCTGTCCATATTCAACGTCATAATCTACTTATATTTAAAATTTCAATTCCTGTTATTTAATTTATCCACTTAATTTCCGCGAATATCATTAAGCTAGACGTTTTTGTTTCAATAAAGCTAAATAATAATAATAATAAATAAACTTATACAAAAATGAAAAGAAATTCTAATGCACTTTATTTATTAAATAACTAAAAAATATGCATCCGTACTAGATGGAATCACTATATCCATACTGCAAACAATTTTAATTAATTTTTCGTCTTGCTCCTTTTAATTACACATTATTTAAATAAATGCCCAATAAAAAGAAATAAAAAAAATGATAAAAAGCAATATGTAGTAACAGAAAGTGTGTTAACTTTTATTTTTTATCACACTTCGTTCTGCGTACAAAAATTTTAGGGATGGTCTTTATTTAGGGAGGAGAAACTGAGATAGAAGAAGAAAACGAGAGAAATACCTAAGGTTACATTCCCCTCAATAGATGGTTTTATACATCGGTATAGGTATTTTATGTAGAAATTTCAAAATTACCAAAAAATTAAGAAAAAAAAAATCAGTCGAAGACAGAAAAAAATTCAAAATATCCAATTTCCTCTCTTATTTTGGTTCACTATATCCGCAAAAAATATTATATATGTATAGCAAGGCACGGGAGCGAACATTTCGTTTACTATATCCGGGAGATCAGTATAAACCATGTTCACTATAGCGAAGTTTGACTGTAGTACTTTTTATGCCATGTATGCCTAGCATTAAACTTCTTTAATTTTATGGTATTCACTATTTAACTTTTTTTCTCTAATTACTTTAAGACTTACAAGAAGTTCTTTCAACGATTTTTAAATTTTTTAAATCAAAATGCGTTATTTGAGAAAATAGTAGATATTGAGTAATAAGTCACTATTCTGTGAGCATCCTACTTTCTTTTATTAAGACTTCTTTTTAGAAATTCGAAGAATAACTCTTTTTAATAATAAAGTAATAACTTCAATTAAATAAAAATAAATATCTAGTTCGAAAAAAAGTGAAGTTTTAAAGAAACTTTCGAGAAAAGTTCTAAACATGCAGTGTGAAAAATAATCTTTTTTTTTGTGCAACCTTTAAAAACGGTTAGAATTTCTTTCCGCAGGCAGATGTACATCATAATTACAATTTTTCCGGAAGAATGATATGCAACTTTTTCCAAAAAATGGAAAAAAATATTTACTTTTGCTTAGTTTTAAGTTTGTTTATATTATCTGATTTTACGAAATAATTTTCATACTTGTAAATTTATCATTTTATTTATACTAAGTATTCTACATGCAGAATAAAATATTTTTGTATATTTAAACTTTTCATTTCTTAATGCTTGGTAATATTTTTGTGACCATGAAATCTGCTTTAAAAATATTTCTTATGAATGCAGTTGATTTTTCACAAAGACAGATTATTGCCAGTTATGCAAGCAGTGTTAGTTCACGCCCACCTGATATTTTATCTTGAAAACCTAAATTAAATAATAACAAATTAAAATGTTTTTAAAATATAAGAAATATGCTTAAAAATGAATACTGTACTAAAGTATGTAATTTAATATTCTTATAAAGAAGCTTTTAGTTCCTCATAATTATTTTTTACAATAAGTACATTTTACGATATATAATTCAATAATGCTTGAATATTTTTATATTATGATTATTGTTTTATTATATGATGTATTTAGATGATTATTTTTATATTTATTTGATGTATTTTCTCACAAATCTATTTTTCATAAGGGTTCTAGCATATAATGATAAAAATAGACTTATGCTTTTCATTCATTATTGTTTCTATCTGTTTTTATTAATATTTCGGTTAAATAAAATATGACATGATTTGCTAAAATATTTGAAGATGATGCCTTTAAAGATTTATTTTATTAGAATTATATTCAAAATCCATAAATAAACTCTTCAAATTCGTCATCTAACTAAGCGAATATCTGAATTAATTTAGATAGAAATAAAATAAATAGCGAGCCCCATTTAAGTACTAAGTAGACACGGTAAGTAATGCAGGTAGGCGTAATATAAATAAGGCTACTTGGTTAGAGGTTACAAGCGAGAGAAGGCAGTCTAAAGGCCTAATTATAGGGTACTTAACAAAATGTTAGCAGTAATACAATTTAACACATGGTGCTTAAGAAAATGTTGGCCTAAAATTATAGCCTACATCTAATCTGCTTTAAGTGACTATTTACATATTTAGAGGTTCCATACTCAGTAATTATGTAATACACACTTGGTTAAAAACATATCAAATAAATGAGTTAAGGAGCTTATGAAATTCAGGATATATTCTTAAGATAAAAAGGTATTGGATATTAGACAGTAATTTATTTTTATCTTAAAATACAAGAGATGCTTATTTTACTTAATATATAGTATTGGTAGAAAATTAAATAACAGTTTTTTTGAGCTAAATCAGTTTTTGAAGTGATGTAAACATATAATGGTTTTAACACACAAAATGATAGATATCTTCTTAACAGCTTCCCCGATTATCCCGAGTTAACTCGGGTTTATATATATTGCAAATATTCATTATTCCGAGTAAACTCGAGCATAGCAGTATTCGTCAATACGTTTTGTTTTATCACGTTTTTATTCGGCAGGAAGCAAAACAAAAAATTATAATAATCTGCTGTGATTGGAAGCTTGCCAATTTTTGTTTGGGAGCTTTGCTATTCGTGGGACTACAGACGTGTTTTGTATAATTGTATATACAATGGTTGATGAATTTACGTAGAAAAAAAGGGTAAAAAAAATGGCGTTCGCGAGCGAAAATGAAAGTAAAGCAGATGATTTTTCAGATGTGAACATACACAAAGACCAATATATAAATTTTTTCATTTGCCCGAAATAATTTGGGATAGTAAACTGATATTATTTGGGATTAAATCTCTAGATTAGCAAATTTTTTTTTTACACTTTCGTATTCAAATTTAAGAATTTTTATCAAATTATGAATACCTAATTACAAGAATTCATATTTCGCGGAAGGGTATTCACCGGACAAGTTTCGAATAGACCGTTGTAACGATGTATCTAAATTCCCATTTGAAATATTCATCATTTTGTTGCATTTCAGATTATTTTTTATCTCAAAAGCAGCTATTTTTGGAACAAGACTTTAGTTTTTCGTTATTTTTATAACGTAAAAAAAACTATTTTTTATAAAAATAGAATTTACAGAAAAAAAAGGTCCTTTAGGACACTTTTTCAGCAAGTCCTTTTTTACAGCTAACTTCTAAAATAGTATTCATAAGTTTGTGATATTCGAGAGAAACATCTAAATGTTTGAATTAATTAGTATTCAGCGGAGATTCTGTGCAACGATTACAAACTTCCACAAGCTGTTGTGACGACGCAAAACTCAAGGGAAAAAAACACTTGAACAACATCAGAAAAATATTTATTATCCTTCTGAAGGTTTAAACAATGATAGAAATTGCGATATTTGCTATAGAAATAAACACCGAAGAGCCATTACATTATGACCACCATCCATCTATAACAATGGACTAGCCCAGGTTTTCATGGTTTCTCGCCCAGGAACAATGTTTTCATAGGGCACATTAGGACCCATAATCCTCATAGAACAATCCCTGACGTCTGTAAGCTACTTGAACATAGTTGCAGACCAGGTTCACCCATTCATGGCAACAGTTTTTCCTGC